GGACGGCACACGGGCTGCCCTCCCGCGGCTTCGCTGCCTCCGCTCGCCGCCAGCGCCAGGGCACCCCGTTGAATGTCTGAAACGCTGCATCCCACTACAGCCCCTACACCGGGGCTAAGGGCTCACGCATGCCTACACCTGACGTGCCGACTTAAGAACTGACAGGACCGGAAAGTTCCAGTTAAAACCAAGACAGTCAGGTCTCGTTTCAGAGGTACTACACCCAGCACTCGGCCTTCAGAGACATGCCACTGCATCAGTTTCCATTTGGGGCAGACTGCAAAGGTTTACAGAGTCAGCCATCACAACTAGAGGTTATTAACAAAAACCCCAAAGCCAGGGAGGCTTGCCCCTGCCTACTAAATGGTGATTTAGACCCTCCGGAAAAAAAACAGCAAACCCACACCCAACAATAAGCAACTTCCAATGTCGTCTTCTTAGGCTTTTGGTACTACAAGAATCGTAACGTTCAAGTTCAATGCAAGGAAGGTTACATCATCTTTACGCTTCTGATTAAAAATAGGTTTTGAATATACACATTTAGAAGCAGGAAGTTAATTCAACTTAAGATAACTTTCCCTCTTTTAGAGAAAGTATTTTTGGAAATACACTTCAGTGAAACTCTAAATACATTCCACTCGCAATTATCGCAGAGATCTGAGAGAGTACTAAGGCGACCTGAATAAAGCACAATAGATATTGTGACATCTTACATAAATTAGGTCTAAGTATGTTCACCTTCGGAACGACTTGAAGGTAGGTTTCTATAAAAGGCAGGGACGGATTTAAACATGGCTGTGGAAAGGAGCAGTGAGCAGCCTGTACTATGCATCACACAACAGCAACACAGCAGTGATGCTGGAGGTCATTCCCAGTCCCACTGCCACCCAGGGCACGCACACATGGCTATCCGAAAACTTACCATAAAAGTCTGAAAGCTCCCCAGTCAGCAACAAGGAATTAAGCCAAAAGAATGCAACTATGGGATAAAATGTGATCAACTTATTTGATAGAGGAAGACTTAAAATATTTCTGGAGATTTCAGACTTTCAATTAACTGCAAATCAAAAGCAAAATGCAGCTTCTCTCTCCATGAGTTTAGGTCCTGAGACAAAGAACTGCTGAGGAGGAAAGCTTGAGTAGTATCCCATCCTAGCTGTCTTTCAGGTTCGCTACCACTTCCAGAGAGTTGCCCTGCTCAACTACTGAGAGTGTGAAAAAGCTGACATCTCTTTGTCAGAATGCTGAATACAACTGATATTAAATAGCAGGTTTCCTGCGAGGTGACTAACACAATGATTTTTAATTTGTTGTCATTATTTACAAAACTCCACCAGGTTGGGTTTACCAGCACCTTAACATTCAAGTGGAAAAGATGACCTGGCTATCAAATGTGTTCCCCCTAACTATATTCAGCCCCGGGGACACTAGTCAGAGACTTAAATGCACTAAGCCATGGAATGTCCACTGAACTTTCCCAAAGAAAACTGCTCATATAATCTGAGTTGCCCACCTGTGAGAGACGCACATCAAAAGAGACATTGCTACTCATTTCCCGTATCCTGAAAGATGACGTTACTCGTGTGAATACTTCTTTTTGTAACATATTATTTCAGTAGAAGAGTAGGTGGTTTATTTCCTACCTGTAATGTACATGGGTAACCGTTGGCTGTCGGTAGCCAAGAATCCAAGTTTGGATGTCTATAGGTTCACCTTTGGAATACGCAATGGTTGTGTCTATCACCCACTGGAGGCCTTTTGGTTTGCTCTCTGGGAACAAAAAGAAACATGATCTTAGAAGCAATCAGAAAGCGCACGTCACCCATTTGATAGTTAATCCATTTTTTATATTACATCATGAGTTATGAGGCACCAATAAAATAAGACAGGCAAAAATGAAGCCCAGATTTCATTCCAGAGCAGAGAAACACTCTTAAGAACTTCGGCTAGACAGAGATTTTGCTTTCACAGTTACTGCTGCTCTTGCATGCTGTAGTACACAAAACAGAACAAGTTCACTCGCTGGCTCTGAGTACAGTCACGTAGCACGTTGGCCCAAATGTTATGTGCTTCCCCCCATTCACCACAAGGAAAACTTCAGAAATAAAAGGCCAGCTTTCTTGGTTCAACTTTAAGCCCATTTGCAGCTGGGTCTTCGCAAGAGCTCGCAGTTGCGGGTCACTGACGAAGCAACCGCCATGCAGATCCCTCTGGGCAACCAGCCTCACTACGGGGTTAGGGCAAGCGGACAAAGGTGACTTATGTCATACCACATAATTAGATTTTCAAAGACTTTAAAAAAAAAAATCCTTCAAAGTTCCTTCAAAATCTGAGCTACAGGATAAAGAGGAAATACACCACTTGTGTATTAAAAACAAGAAAGCATTTAATAGAAGACAGTTTTCACAACGCAGAGGAGATTGCATCCACAAGGTCCCAGAAAGCCTGATACCAGTACATGTTCACACGCTACTCAGCATATTTAGAAACTGAAAAAAAGGGGGTGAAAATATTTGCAAGGAAGATTACTCAAATTTAAATGTGAGCATAGGTTACTACCAGCAAGAGTCAAGGTCAGATACCAACCCAGCCATGACCCCTCTCTGTCATGTCTTCGCTTCAGAGGTTTGCGGAGAGGGAGAGCAGCGGATCTGGAAAGCAAACCAGGAAGGAGGGGCATGCTGCCCAGATGGCACTTGGAGTTTAGCTTTTCAATTTCATACCCGTTCTGTGGGAACCGGAGCTGCCTTCTAGCCCGAACGTAACCTGACCTCAGAGAGTATAGCCAAACGCTTACTGAATGCTTTAATATACTAGTGTAGTAACACGCTTACATCATACCCAGCAACATCTTAAAGCATTTAAAAAGCTGACTATTAAAACCAGCCGCCCGTTGGCAGAAGCATGTAAGAGGGGTTACGCCTTTGTACCAAGTAGAAGACTCTCCAAGCTTGCAGCTGGAGACAGCTACGAAGGAAATAGGACAGAGGTTGACAAAACCCCCGTTGGCATGAAGAACACGCACAGGGATAGGCTGCTCACCATCTTTCTCCATACAAAAATAGCCATATTCAAAATGAAGCCAAGTGGGGAAGTTTTCAAAGCAAACAGAGAGAAATGATTCTTCGTGCGGAGGGGAATAAAACTGTGGGAAACCCCTTGCCAAAAGGTGTGGAGGATGCCAAGAGCTGGGTTCAAGAGGAAACTGGACAACTGCACAGAAGTCGTCCACTGGAGGGTTAACTAAACAGGCAGCAACCCTCATCTGGCTTGGGAAACAACCTACCACGCTGGAAAAAAGTTAGGAGAGTACATGGGAGAAACGTGATGCGTGCTTGCTGTCTTCACACTCTCCCTCTGATACCCACTGGGGTCACGGACAAGATGTTGGCCTAGACAGATGTTTGGTCTGGCCCAGAATCACCCCCTCACAATTTACAGAAGAGCTACCAGGCACATGAAGAAATCTGAGCAGCCCGAGCCACAGTTACTACCATCACCTAGAACATACGTGCAAGGACTGACGTGCAAGTTCCGACCTGCGTTTCGTTTAACTGAATTTGCATTCCATTGAACTCTGAGAAGACAATTACAGCAACACTATCACAGGTATCTATCCATTATTTTAACAAGCAGCTAGTGTTTTCAGGGTGTCTGCTGAACAAACGAGCTCCATTACAAATGCACACACGCTACCTGAGTAAGGCCAGACAGGATTTCCTAACATCCAGGTTACAGGTTACTAGTAGCGTGCAAGGTGCCATTCCAAAATCTGAGCAAGTGCCAGCTCCCCAGGTCAAGCTGAAACACCTTGTGTTACCTCCTGGAAATAGAGTATTTTAAATCCTGCCAGACACACGGAATGAGAACACCAGGTCCCATTAGAGGCTCCAGGCTTGCCAGCAGCATGACAGAGTGCTTGTCAAGTCTGTCTTAAGCAAAGCACTAACTACAGTGTCTTTCATTTTAAAAGTAGCAACGTATTAGAGAAAAGCCAATATGAAATTAATAGTAAATCCACAGAAGCATTCATTTAGAAATGGATTTCGGAACAAAGCCATTCAATTTATTATTTTCCCAGATGTAAAGTAAGAATGAATAAAGACAAGTAAATTGTCTAAGCAAGTAAGCAGCAAAGATCATTAATTGCAATTAAAAAGTGTCAGATGAATACGGGTGCATCATCTTATTTACAATAAGGTGTTTTAATATCATTTATTAAATATTTAGCTAGCATTTCAGACTGTTCTTTCAGTGGATAATGGTTCAAACTTCATTATGGGAAGACTCCTGCAGTCCTCCTTCTGTGCTGATTTCCTACCTTCTGCTTTTGTGGAGCAGAGCTGCTGCATGGATTCCTCAGACCAGCTCCTTCCAGGGCAGGGTGGGGAAGAAAACCTGCCTCTGACAGCCCACCAGGAACCCCAGGTTGGGGTCGGGGGGTTGGTGGTGGGAAATTCTGGAGGTAGTGTCAGCCTCCACAGACCCTCCTCTAGAGCAAGCAGGTCTTAGCACAGCTACCTCCACGTGCAATCACCAGGCATGCCATCAAATGATGGCAGATTTCTGCATGCTCTGGTTTAAAATAAGCCTTACGTAATAATCCAAGATCTCACACTGCCAGAAAAACCTAAGCTGCCAAGGATTTCAGAAAATCAATTTTGAAATAAACCTTTCTGACCTTTTTTGGGGGTTATCCTGCATTGTGCCCTGCTTGTGAGCATATTTATTTTAAAGCCACAAAGCTCTAACAGACCTTGAAACTGAAACAGACCACTGCACACAACACGGAGGGGTAGGACCTTAGTACCTCTGAGAATGATGCTTTCAGGCCTAAGCAGACCTTTGAACAAGAAATAAATCATATTATTGTTTAACTGGAGCATCCTAACAGCCACTCGGAACAGAGCGATTGCTGCATTGTTGTAGTGCGGTGTGATTCTCATTTGTAGCTGGAAGAAAGAGAGTTGCATATACCTGTTCAAGCACTCCTCTTGCCAAGCTTGGCTTGGCCGATGCAGCCACAGATGTTTCTGACAACCAAAGCCTTCTGAACTTTCATTACAAGACACCCTCATCACTCAGTTCTAGTACCTGCTGAAAGACTGAGCAGCGTGGCTGCCAGGGATCTCAGCAGCCGAAACTGCTGCAGAGCCCAAATTTAAGCTGATCTCTCCAAGCACTAGTGTTTTTTTCCTGTGGCGTCAGTGTCTGCTTGGCCCTTCCACCACAGGCAGAAGATTCCAATTTCTCAAACTGCCTCAAAATCTCAGCAGTCCAATTCTTTTAAAGAGTACACAAGTGTTCAAAACAGGCGTGCACACATCTGTCCAAACCCACGTCATCACGTACCTTATTACGAAAGGTACATACTTGCCCTACAGTGCCAAGACAACCGCGTATAAATAACTTCACGGCCTAGTCAAAAAAAATCAAAATAAAATTTCAACGGTTTCTTAATTTGCTGTTTGATTTTTTTTTTTTAAGCACCAGCAGAGGCAAATCGTCCTAACTATTTGCTTCCTTATTTTGTTCCAGCTGTGGGTTCAGTGAGAGCAGATTGCTTCATATTTAGTTATGAAGCAACTTACCATCAGTGTCTTCAAGACATTCAGCGCTCCATCGTCCTCTGTGGTCCTCTCACAGCAGACACCTGACTGTCTACCAGCACAAATGGACTGTGGCGCAGAGCGTCTCTCCATCCCTTCTGTGTCCTCCCTGGGGTTACTCTTAACCACTGCTAAAATCCAGACTTGACTATGTGCAGGACCCCTCAAACCCCCCAGCACACTGCCAATGGTCACCAGCGAGAGAAAGAGCAAGTTACAAAGCCAGGTTTCAGAAGGACACATCAGCTCCAGCCCAGCCCTGGATGGTGTGATCCTGCCGGGTCGCGTCCGGAGTGGAAATGAATGCCCCGGCCAGGCGTGAACCCGAGGACCACAGCTTCCACTTGAAAAAGAAAACATTTACTGTCATTCACTACTCTTCAGGTGTGGTTTCCTGAACACTGACATCACCCTGCACGCAGCCAGAAGAGGCTGTTGCCTCCCCCTGGATAGCAGTTTCTTTCTTGTAACTTCTCCCTTGTTCTCTACTCGTCCTCGTGTGATCAACTGGACCACTGACCTTAAAATTAACTTTTCTCCCCCCAAAGATCAGCTCTCAGACTGAACATCTTACTCATCATCCCAAGATCTTTTTGTAACAAATCACCTGGAACAAAACAAGAAGCCTGTTTTCCAGGATAAAAAACCACCTTCTGATGTGTTATTCAAGTCACATTCCTCATAACAGTGAATCAAGAAGTTTGATTAAAAAAAAAAAATCACTGCAGTCCAGTGTCCAGCTCTGCAGAGGGGAAAATTGACTTTCTCTGAGAAAAAGCATCAGAACTGAACGTACTGTGCTGTGTTTGAAAACTGCCAGGTAAGATTTCCACGTGGCTCTAACCAAGCTCAGAGCAACCTCTTATCAGATAAAAAACTGCTGCACGGTAAAATAAAGCAGAGTTTAAAAAAAAACCATACTAGAGCAAGGTTGAACAGAAATAGGCTCTGGAATGCCTATCTTTGGTGAACAATTGCTCTAAACTCCTTTGAACTGTCAGCTGTTTAGCAGTTAGAACGTTTTGCTAGTTCTAAAACTCACAAGAAGATCAATCTTACCAGCTGAAGAAACACAGTCTCTGCCATAGTTCCAAGTATAAAATGTTCTGCTAATAAAAAAAATTTCAAAAACCCCAAAAACCATAAAATACCCACGCACGCACCCCAGTCCCCACAGGGTGAAGGTGATGGTGGCTATGTACCACGTATTTTTATGCTGCCCATGTTTCCATCCTGCGCTAAAGCCTTCTCTGGGAACGCAGGTGCTGGCAGAGTGCTCTGCCTGGGGGGCACAGCACGTCTGCCCAGAGGAGGCTTTCATCAGACACCAGAATTAACTTACACCATCTTTTCAGGACAGACACCACTTACCAACATTATCTCTCCTTTCTAGCTTCACAGCACTCAAGCCATCAAGTGATAGTACTGCTTTTCCTCTATCTTTTTCCATTATTCTATTTATTTAGGGATAAAATTTTACCATTTTGTTAAATTAAATGAGTGTTTCCAAAGGCAGCAAAAGCAACACCTGGTTTAGTAATTTACTTTAGTATTTACCAGCAATAAGTTAAAGTTCACCCCAATGAAAGCTAATACTTTGGACTTTAAAGATGAAAGAAGGCTTCGAAAACTGTCAGGAGGAAGAAATTAGGAAAATAGAGGCTGCTTGCCTTGGAAAAGGAACCGATAAAGAACTGGTTGGTTTAAGTACAAGAATAATCAAACAGTATTGATCATCTAGCTCAGGAGCGTTGTTCTTCCTGTCACTTTACAGAGGAAGAATCAGGTAATAAACTGTGGGAAATTCATAACCAGTACAAAAATAAACTGAAAAGGGGATTGGGTATTAAGAATAGCAGCATCATAATTAAGGCTAACAAAACGTTAGGGGAGCTTAGGGAACATCGCACTTCCCACCATGGACCCGCCTCTACCAAAGGGATGACGGAAACCACAGCAGAGGCCTTACAGGAGAAAGACAGGGGATGTAGCATTTAGCCGTCGCACAATTCCTGAACCACTGTTTGAAGGCCCCAGCTTCGGTGACGTTCGATGTACAAAAGCAAGCTGGTGGGGCTGGGGAGCAGGGGGCCGTGTGATCAGACATACCCAGCGTGGGTGGTACCCAATTAGGGTGCAGCATAACTGGATGGTAAGGACAAACCATCTTTACCTACAGTTGCTTTTGTCATCTCTTCTTCTTTCACTCAGTATCAAACACCGTCCCGGCTGAGAAAGCAGAATGGTACAAAAGCTGCAGGATCAGCTGAAATGAATTAAGCACTAATAACATCACAGTCCTCAAGAACACCGCAGCTGTGTACCACGACTCAACACAGCACAGCTACCCAGGAAACTCAGGAGGAAGGGGGTACAGTGTCTTATGAGGAGTTACTCTTAATTTATAAGCCAATTTAAAATCGGTGGGGGAGGGAGGTGAAGTCCCATCATTATCAATAAAGCTTGGTGGTAACAAAAAGACTGAGAATGATAAATGATGGAGAAGAAAGCTTATTACAGCAAGATGAGCGATCTGGTAACCCAGGACACCAGGAACACTGCTAAGTAACAGCACAGAGCACAAGAAGCACTTTGCATCAAAGCATGAAGTTGAGAAGTGCGAAGGTCCAGACCCACAAGCCCCTTCCCAAGCAAGGGAGTACGGTAGGAATGCACACCAAGTTCATACGCAGCCTCTACGCAAGGGACTGGCTGTGCCTTTCCTGTATGTACCTCGCCCAGCTCTGGCACTCTCAACGATGACGGTACCCCAAAGGGGATACAGGCAGGTTTGATGTCGCCGAGTCAGGTTTTTCAGTGGGGTCAAAAAAAGGGAAAGAAATAAAAAGCAAAGATGATCACTAGCTGCTTCGGCTTCTAGCTTTATAAACTGACCATAGCAATTTGTACAACTGTATTTCATTCAACTGAACAAACATTCTTCAAACGTTCTCGGAAGCGGCGAGAGTACAGTAAAGGCATTTGGGAGGTAGAAGATTAGAGGAAGCGTCTTGTATACAAGACACATATCAAGAATTAACCTTCTGTGTCTCTCTGAAAGGAAAGTTAAAAACAACCCCACAAAAATGTTTCTAGCACAAGAGAGGGCTTAAAATACCACAGCACACGTGTCAAGTATTACTCTTTCCTAGCATATAAAATTTACTTTTACTTCTCTTCTTCATCCCTTTTATTACATTTTTACCTCAAAAGCAAGTAAGTCAGGTCTGATATTCAGCTAGGTTGATAGCAAGAGTGTGAAAATTCAAAACTGGTATTTGACGAGTGCTTTTGGTCCCCTTCCAGAACTAGAAGGCCTGTAATTCACTTGAACTTCTTACTATTCGTACTTTTTTGTCTGGTAGAACAGGAACAGGCCAAACTTTTCTCCTTAAAAACACAACTTTTAACAAGGACAAGGGTATTCTGTTTCTCTCTTTTAAACCTAAAATCTTCTAAGACAAGGCTTCTTCAGCCTTTCTTTTCTGATTGTAGCCTGAAAGGAAATATTCTGATGCATTTCACAGCTTGATTTTCAGTTAATTTCCAATCTTCCCCCCACTCCTGCAAGAACATCAGCTACGCTCATTTCTTACGTTGAGAAGATTAACTTAAAAACCAAAAATCTGGAAGCAATTTCTATATGAGGCCTCCTGCTAACCCTGAAATTTTTAACTTTGGCACAGAAAAAACCCTCCAAAGTCAACTGCATATGTGGCTATATCAGTATGGATCTTTGGTTCAAACTGCTAAATCATCACCATAATTTGGCTATGGAAATACCGGCACCACCCATCCGTAAGAAACCACCACAACCCCCCAAGCCATTGTTTCTATAATAAGCAACAGATACCCACAAGGAGGTAAAGCAAGATCTAACCCCGCTCCCTCAATGTGCCAAGAAGTTAATTTTAAAAACAGAGAGACTAAAAGCACCAAGTCCTAACTACAGGCATGATGTATATCCCAGCTCGACTCTCCCCTACAGTCCAGCCCTCCCAGAACAATAATGCTGTGGGAATATTCTTATTCCCTCATAAATCTTCTAACATAAAAGAGCCAAAACAAGCCTTCAAATCTAGTCATCAGTGACAGATAACTCCATCAACACAGGGGACGCTCAGAAAAAGAACCTGAACTCAACAGAAAATAGTTCAAGAAGAGGAAATGAAGCGCAAAGAAACTTTTAAAGCCAGGAATAGAAATTTGAACACAGGCTGCACATTCCAGAAAGACTTTTACTATAGTTCCATACTGCCATAAACCACTGCAAACCACCCATAATGCTGAAAGGAGCAGCCCACCTTCTTGCCCACTCCAGGCGCTCATTCCAGCAGCTGCTCGACCCACCGTGCGTACCAAGACGAACGTTCATGCAGCCATGCCGCAGACCAAACCAAGTGAAACCAAGGTTGACTTTTTCATGTGTCTCAACATAAAAACATTATGGATGTATCTGACACTTAAAGAGACCAGTTCAACACAAACCCTTTGCTTAACTCAGATCTTTGACGTTCAATTTCCTTGGTCTTTACCTTTTATCACAGCGTCTCCACCTGCTGGAGTTCCATTTTCTTGCGGCGCTACAAGCGTTTTTAGAATTACTTGCGTTGCCCCAAGCCTCGGCAGGGTAACATGTTTAAGAAATGGTAAATTGTTTTTCTTGGCAAATGCCTGGCTTGTTTCTCTCCTTTTCCTAAGAAATCCACCCTCTGGAAATAAAACAATCCATTTCCGATTACGGCTCCTGTAGTATTTTTCTAGATGCTCCTTGAGTAACACAAGCTGCTGGTCACGGTGTTCTCTTCCCTGTAAGGATAAAACAGTACCTAAATAAAACGAACGCTTAGAAGAGAGAACAATAACAGGAAATTACTACATTTCTAAGGTTTCTCTCTTTTCAGAGATACAAATAAGCCCCCAGGACAACACAAAACACTGTTCTCCTCAGAGTACCTACTGGTGGTTGAGTTAATGCCCCTTCACAGAAGGGCTGAAAAAATAAAAGCCTTTGAAATTGAGGATGAAGCTCCCAACTTGATGATTCCTCTGCAAGAGTGACATCCAGACTACAAGTGGGAACTTCACATAACAAGAGGATATATTTGCAGAATTCTCTGGTTACTATTGGGTCCCAAGTTGAATTTGCTAAGTTGAATTCAAAAATTCTGAAGACCGTGGCTACTTGATCACCATCACAGGGAACCGCCTCAGCCTTCTTTCCTTTAGAAGAAAACTGGTAGCAGCAGACGGCTGGCAAATTCTTTGTGATGCCATCCACTTCACGTGACCGATATGGGGAGTTACTGGCACTCTCCGCTGCCAGTAAACTTTTCAGTGGGAGAAGAGGAAACACTAGTCGACTTCTATGAGACCTCAGAAGCATTCCTAAAACTAAAACTGCCTGTGCCTAAAACTGCCATTGGTGCTGCTCATGAAAATGAGGCTAATGTGCCTTTTAAACAAACAGGATGTATCGTACCACGATCCAATTACATTACGTTACAGGGGAAAAAAATGAAGAATTTGCTCATCCAAATATTACTAGGGCCATCCTATAGTTAGGCAAAGGATCATTACTCACTCCCCTTAAGTGTTTTTGCTATGCCCAAAGGCTAACTAACAGCCAACGAACATTTTATTTTCAGTTGGGTTATATTTAGACTCATAATGCCGTCATTTTATTTGTGATCTTGCACATCTCGGGCACTTCACAACATGAAGGAAAAGCCTTGGTTTTGGCAGGTAAGTCATGGTTTGGTTTTGTACCTAACTGCAACGCCACAATCAGAAATTACAATTAACAAGCTCACAGCTATGTGTACCTCAAACCATGTATCTTGTGAATTTTAACTACTGCAACAGATTTATACTTTACAAAGAGTGAAAGCCTGTTCCTTTCTGTACTGTCACAGTACGCAGCTGTGTATCTCTAGAGACCTTTATTTTATTGCCTAATTTTGCCTAAGGTTTTCTAGCCGTGCCTCCAGCTTTAGCTAGAAATCTCACTTCAGCTGTGTATAGCTGTGATTAAGAATTTCTTTTATTTAATTCTGAATAAATTAGTTTCTCCTTCTCTGTAAAGTGAAAATGCGTTAATTCTCTCTGGCAGTCCAGACAAATAAAAATAAGGAGAGGAAAGAATCGCACATGCTGGGCATCGCAGTTCATGTAACTGGCAGCAGGTTCATGCTCACCATGAGCATTTAGAGTGCGGTTTGATCAACAGCTACCAAACAACAAGAAGAAACCCCAGTTGTAAGAAGTAATCTGAGGTTTTCACTCCTTGACATTTGAGATGTTGGGCTCAACACACATTTTTTTCCTGATGCTCAAATAATAATTAACCTTCAAGAATCAATTAGTTGCTATTTATGTAGGTCCATCACCACCTTAAACTGGTCTAATACCATGTCACCTCTGAAAGGGATGGTCCTACCTTTATCTGAAATTTGGGACAGTCAGAAGAGTGACCTCACCAGACTCACCGCACAGCTTCGAGTCACTAAGGAAAGAAGCGAGGTGCCAACAACGGGCAGTCACAAGCAGAGACAAAAAGGACTGCCCATAGACTTTCCCTGCACACCACTCTCATAAAAACCTCCCATCATAACTGGGTTCGGTAAACACTCGTGTCTAGGAGAATAATAAAACAAGCTTGGAAACAAAGTGGTTTTGGAACAAAGCTCCACCCAAACATGCATGTTACAGCATAGTTATTTCATCCCCCAAACTATTCAGGAGGTAATGAGTAAGTCCCAAAACACCACAATGTTCTAAATATAAGGTTAAATCAAAGCATTGTGTGTTTCCACTTACCTGTCGTATAAAGAAGTCTCCATGGATTAGAGACACAATGCCAAAGTTTGTGTACTTAAAAATATGATCCATCAGCCACATCATCTGACGGACGACCTGAAAAGTTAAATTAAAAGAAGTTTAGCAAATAGCAAGTGCAGACAATTACAGACATACTGGTCACATTCTTGTCACCCTCACAACAGCAATGAAACTAGCAAATCTATGCCCCCAAGTATAAAGCAGCAAGGTGACACACTTCTCTCTCATGAGCAGGACTAAATAGCTGCCTTTCTGTAACATAACTGAACTCCACCTGGAGTACTGCATCCAGCTGTGGAGCCCTCAATATCAGAAGGATATTGACCACTTGGAGCGAGTCCAGAGGAGGCCACGAAGATGATCAGAGGGCTGGAGCACCTCTCCTATGACGAAAGGCTGCGAAAAGGCTTGTTCAGCCTGGAGAAGAGGAGGCTCCGAGGAGACCTCATTGCAGCTTTCCAGTATCTGAAGGGGGCCTACAAGGGTACTGGGAGAGGACTTTTTACAAGAGCCTGTAGTGATAGGACAAGGGGTAACGGGGACAAATTGAAATCAGGGAGGGTTAGATTAGATATCAGGAAGCAGTTCTTCCCGGAGAGGGTGGTGAGGCACTGGAACAGGTTGCCCAGAGAAGCTGTGGATGCCCCATCCCTGGCAGTGTTCAAGGCCAGGCTGGATGAGGCTTAGAGCAACCTGGTCTAGTGGAAGGTGTCCCTGCCCATGGCAGGGGGGTTGGAACTAGATGGTCTTTAAGGTCCCTTCCAACCCAAACCATTCTATGATTCTATGATTCTATAACAGAGAGTTCTACACTATGAGCCATGTGCTACAGTTCTTTCTAATCCGTCTTCTCACACAGGTAGTGCGATGCTTCGTACTGACATGCAACCACGACTTTAAGCCAGTTGCAAACCAAAACCATTTTCAGTGTTGTTGAAGTACACAAAACAATACAGATCTGTATTTGAAATCTCCAGCTGTTTCATGTCTACCACAAGAACACCAAGACCTGTGTACAGCCCACATGCCAATACTGATTTCTCTTACAGCAGAGCAGCCACAAGCATCCCTGGGCATTCCATTAAGTCACGCTCCTTGTCCCAGCCAAGAAGGACAGTGAGCAGGCAAAGCGTGGTTGAGCCATCACTTCTTACAGGATAGCGAAGGCAGACACTATAGCTTTTGAGCCTTTTGAGATTTAAAACAGATCAGTTACTTCAGAAGAGGTAACTAACAGAAGGGAAAAGCTGCTCTCACAAGGTCTTTCCCCTCCATAGCTCCTACTTGTAGATTTTGAGAGGGGTAGGAATGGGGTCTCCAAAACTGGATAATCATTGTCTCCTCCATGCTCTCAATCATGCACAAGGCCAGCTGCCCATGGTAAAAGACCACACCAAAACCAATTCAAGTTCAGTGAAGCTTAAAGCCATACGGCATAGTACTCCTCCATTTATCACCGGCAAAAAAGCATATGGAGAACCAGGACACTTCTCTGGTAGTCAGAAGATCACTTTTTGAATCTTAGCCAGGCACTTTCTGCTTGGCATCTTTCGGTTGTCCAAGATACATAATTTGAGGCAAATACAGAGAGAAAGCAGTCCAAGAAAAAAAGATTTCCTCTAGAAAACCCATGCATTGTTCATGCGCGTTAGTTGATTACATCCACTGCTGCAGCGCACTCTACGCATCTCTCCAAACACCCACCGCTCACACAGCAACTGACATGCTCAGAATCCACATCCATGCCTTCAACAATACTTCTAACAACGTAGTTGGATACAGTGGAAGATGGTGGCTTTTACCTGTTCTCACACCTTTACATGTTTAGATGGAATGTGTAGAAAGAAGCAGATAATATTTTATGCAGGAATTCCGTTTTGTAAAAGCACTGCGATACTTTGCAATTTGTACCTAGAAATGAGTCAGTAAGTCTCACTTCCAAAGAAATCTAATTCTCTCTTGGACTGCTCTGATTTCCTGGTCTCCCTTTTGACCACAGAAGCTATAAATGAATCTTGGATTATACATATTTGGAGAAAGGTAACGGCCACGTACACTATTTTACGCTGGATGCTCAGCAAAGCGACATTTTTACACACTTGCGAGAACGTACCTGCCAAAGAATGTGTAATACACTTTATTGCCTTGGGCATAGAGCTAATCACAGAACCACAGACTGGTTTGGGTTGGAAGGGACCTTAAAGATCATCTAGTTCCAAGCCCCCTGCCACGGGCAGGGACACCATCTCCCAGCAATCTGAATGTAGCTACCTAAGAGCACACTAAGAACAGCTCAACCTTTGCGGTTTTTTAATTCTAGAAAACTTCCAATTTGAAAACCCTGGATAATGCAAAAGCACCCATTTCTGGTCCCTCTAGCATCACTAGAAGTGGAAAAAGAAACCATGTCTCAGAAAAAGGACAGCTCTCAAAGATATGAAAGGTTTTGCTTTGGCAACAAGCATCCATTTCTTCCCTGTGACATGCTACTATCCATCCCCTCCTGTCTGCAGTGGTATTTCTTCCTAGACACTACACATCCAAGGGAGCAAAGACACGCCATATACTTGTGAGTGATGAAAAAAAAAAGTAGTTCATAGGTAGAACTCCCCACTTGAGACTAATATTGGTGAAAGGGTTTCTCATACAGCTATCCCCAGGTCTGTGTTAAGTAAAAGAAAAAAAGCAAACATTATTCTCTGCAGAGATCCATTATTTCCATTTCTGTAAATTAGAAAGCCTTAGGGATAGGAGGAAAATTTAAAAAAAAAAGCAGGAAAGGTGTGCCCTAAGGACAAGAGTTAAAAAAAGCATCACTGGGAGGTGTCACTGTTCTTCAGGGCACTACAATGTCCTATGTTCATGCCCGTGCACCAGCCCAAAGACGACAGGCTGGTGTAGTAAGCCATGCCCTTCAATAAGGCATCACCAAAATTCCACTGATGAGGGTTTAGCCTGCAGCAGTACCCATACGACTGTCAGTGTTTATCTACCACTTAGGCACTCTGACAATTGTTGTTCTATCGTATCAAGCAGAAGTTAGACCAACATAATCTATTTTACCGGAGGAGATAAGCAAGCTTAATAATCTGCTTCCCTGAAAAGGCTTGTGTCTTCTGAGAAGTCAGCATTGGTCCCTAGATGGTCTATGGCAATCCTGGAGGAGGAACTCTCGCCCAGCAATGCCAGCGCATCTCTCCTCCTACACCACTTTTTATTTAGATGATGATGGGTTTATCCTGAAAGTTTGCTCGTCCGAGTCTGAAGTCCATCTCATCGTGTTTTACGTGACACGGGGCTTCTAACTAGCATCCTAGGTCTTCCTCAGTCTCCCTGAAGAACGCTGAGAACGCGTCATAGATCAGTGCGATGTACGAGTTATAGCTAAGATATAAAACATACAGGCAGTTTGCTGTAAGCGGGCTAAAAAGAGGCAAACTCCAGAGCTCGGTGATTACAAAGCTGCCTGTAAGCCTAGGCAGAGTAGTTGTCTGTACCTAAGTACGTACAGCACAGTAAGTACAAAGAGGAAATATTTTTATGGGTGAATTCATGACTATATACATGCGTGCTCACACATAAAATTAAAAAGGAAGCGTTCAAAGAATTAGGACACAATTATCTCATTTGCAATCAAAAGGCAAACTAGATAATGGATAGGCATTCGGTTCTGCTACCAAGGGCAGAACAGAGGACACTGCAGGAGATTGGTGGTGGCTCTTCCATTCAGTGTCTCAGGAGCAAAACAACGCTCATCGCCCCAGTCTCTCGGCATTAGTATTTCAAGGAGGTTTGAGCAAAGACATTCTGAAGTGTTTTGAGCACAGATTCATAGCTGTGCATTGAAAGAATTTTTTGGGTGACATCTCGGGTCCTTTTTGCTTCATCCTTCTTGCCTAAACAAGTTCAGAACGTAGAAAAACCTTTTACCGATTTTATAAAAAAAAAAACCTCTAGGTGCCTGCTACTCGCTGGCCCACTTCCATTTCTCTCTACACAGATTTCATAACAAAGCAAAGTGAACAGCCTGACTTTCATCCTTCAGGGACCTCTAACTTAACAATGAAGCCTAGGAGCGCATGTCTTGAAACTTGCACTCCAACAGCTGCAAGCTCTGCCGCCTTCTTTCCACTGCACCCTTCCCGGCACTGCTTTCTGCTCTAAATCAGAAAAAACCAGCCACATTTATCAGCCCTAATCCACTCAGAAAGCAATAATAGCAGCACTTTAAACTACTTCTCTTTGTTAAATACATAACCTTTAATGTTTATGAGACCTCAACTAACTTAACAAAGTTTGTTTTAACACTTCACGTTCACAAATCGGAACATTTTCTTGAACTATATAAAAAGTGTAATTAGTTCACTTCTGATTAAGCTGAAACCTCGCTCTGTGTGGCTGGTTGTACAGTAACATGTGTTAGTCAAACAACACCAGTCTGGTCCTTCCATTAAGTTATAACTTCTGGCCAAGTTCCACCTCCCTAATAAGAGATGATGTTTTCCTTAGCCACGTAGGGGAATCGGGAAGTCAAGAAACACCTTAACACGTGTATTTTAGCTTACTGCTTCGTGAGATTAAATTTCCTTATCACACATCGGTTGCACTATCATTTGTATATAAGAATTTATAAAATACTGGAAAAAAGTACCACCACGGTTCCTCACGTGGCCCATAGGAAACGTTGTCAAGTTGCAAGAACGTTTCAGTGCTCCACCACACTACACAGAAAAACAGAACTCCAACTCGAACGCTTCTGATGTCGCACATTACCACGGGGTTTCATTTTTTCCAAAGCAGCAGTAAACGGTAAGTACTCGCAGGTTACACCTGGTCTCACCCTGGCTGGCAAAAGCAAGCAAAAGAAATTTTGGACTGCCGCAGGAGGAAGGTCTTCCCGGTTCTGCCACTGCACCATCACTGCCAAGAGGCTGCCTCTGGTGAGCTGCGTTACCACTTCGCTCTACGCCCTCCTGTGCGACACGGAACCGAGCCTTTCACCTTCCCAAAATACTCTGAGGGCTAAAAAAGTGTTGTCCGAGTGGCAGAGTGTTCACGAAGTAGTGCAGCTTATCCACCCCAGCACAATAAAAACGATTCTGGGAAATTACTATCTTGCTACCAAGAGATGAATAGCAAGGTTGTGAGGACTCCACCTTACATTTAAACAAAACTGCGTCATTTAAATAGCTGCCTACTCCAGAATGATTTCTTTTGGACAGGTGGATTTGTTAGGGGTTTGGTTTTTTTTTTTCCTCTAGTGGTTTCACAGTCACTCAAAGTAAAGACAATTCTCAGAAATATGAAGCATGCTATTTAAAAACACCTGATTCAGCAAGCTCTATCAAGGATAAACTATAATGATCTTTCTCATTATTTTTAGCCACTTCTACTGCTCATCCTATATTTTAAGCATGTGTTGAAGCTTGTACTTCTTAAAAATTTTATTAGCTGAAAACATTAAAGCCATACTAAGGTCTGGACATGTGCATTCCAAGACCAATGACTACAATTATTTAAGGGAAAAATAGTGATTTTAAAGATGTTTTGCTTTTCTGAAAACCCACAAAACTAACAGTTTCCATGGTGAAGATTATTTGCCATATCTGTGCCTTCCTCCATTTTTAACATCATCTACATTCACTCAAAGTTACTCATCTTGATTAAAACTTTTTAGCTATGGAGTCAAACAGGATAAATATGGCTTAGATTTATATATACACGAGTACACATACATGAGTTAATGAAGCTCTACGATATTTAAAGCACCAGGGACATCAACAGTCAAGGTTATATGCAATACATATCCACAGGACTCTACCCCCCAGTCATATCTTTATCACAAGACTGTCCACTGCACAATTTTGATGAAGTGAATTAAAAAGCGTTTATTCTGTCATTCTGCTCATTGGGGTACAGCACAGAATACCACAGATACCCAACTTCCTCAGTTCCAAAAGAAATTAAGCAATTAGAAGTACTTTTAAAACAGTCTTCACTAGGCTACAGTAGAAATAAAGAAGTTAGCGTCTGCTCAATCTTGAGTGGCATTTTCATACTTTCTTTTCTGAGTACGGTTTGAGGTTTTTTTTGTGTTTTGTATTGTTTGGGTTGGTTGGTTTTTTTAATCAGCTCTGCTGTCCTAAGCCAGATCTGGGAAAATATCCTAAAAAATATTAAATCAGCGGTAGAGATACAGCGTACACATGACCTATATAAATATACACTGCAAAACCCAGCACCAGTTACAAGTTGTACAGATGCAACAAAAAGCAGCTGTTTTCCTCGCCTCTCCATGATACGATCACAAGAAAGACCACACTAAGACACAGCTGATTAATTTTTTCAGCTTGCAGGTATGTCTCCCACCCTTTTCAGTCTAATCATACCTACCCCTTTCCTCTTGATCTGCACATAAATTTAAATTTCCCAGTTAGATCCTACACTCTTAAGTTGCCAGCACTACAGTCCCTAGACATGAATTTTCTTAAGAGTGTTGTATGAAACAACTCATATGAGTTTCACAAACTCTTAAGCATTTCTTGGTGAGAAGTGCAAGAAAAGCTCAAGCAATTTTGACCTTAGCTGGGCTAGCTCAGCTTGGACATGCCCCCATAGGGAAGTCACTTTCAGTTTCTGAACTCCTCCCAGAAATGCCCCACACATCTTGCTTCAAACTTTGAGAAAAGGTGCATGCTAGAATAGTCATACCCAAGAAGCTAGACCCGTGCTGGTTTGAGCAAAGTCGGCACGAGTTGCACAAGGGCGTGAGGTGAGAGGAAAAAGTCAAGGACATGACTACCTGTAGGGAGATCTGCTTCCCTCTACGCTAACGCAGACTGCATGCACACTAACTCAGCTCATACCTGACCTTCTTCAGAGTCATTATTTACAGTCTAAAACCTGCTCCACGCTACTGGTTGACACCTTAAACCAAACCTAAAGGAAAAGCGTCCTATTTAGGGCTTTGAGATTATTTGGTGGATGAACACACAGATGTCAGTCAGCAGTGCGGCACGCAGACGCGAGCATACACGAGGTAACAGACCGCGTACCCCGAAGACATCCCACGCCCCGGTTGTAGCCTACCGTGCCTTTATCCTGAAGGCACATCATCAGAGTGCAGACGTCACCCGTTGCTTGATGGTTCACCAGCACCATGGCTTCATCTTCCGATACCGCTTTAACATCGTCACCCCATTCCACTACTATTAAAAAAAAATAAAAAGGTAAAGTTTATAATGACCACTTGGAAATTTTACTGTCAACAAAACAAACAAACAAAAAAAACATCAACAAAACAAACAAACAAAAAAACCCCTCAAAACTCAAAGACCCCACACCCAGACAATTACAATAAGGAAATGTACAGGCTACATGTCAATTTAAATTGGCACGTAGCAAGATAGGAGTATTAGCAAGACCATTTTTCCACATGAAGGGTATCCAGCTCAGTTTTAAATTGCATGCACAGAATAAGAACAAAGCAAAAATACTCTACCAGAACATATGCATGGAGATTGATCTTTTTTGTCATTACACCACTCTATATTTAGGGTCCCAAAATTACATAAGCTTTTGACCCAGCTTTCAAATTCACCTCTCTCACCTCATTAGATTAAAAAAATCACATTGTCACAAAAGGGTTTATTGGTTTTGTTTGTTTGGTTGTTTTTTTTTAACTTAGCAAGTTTATTTCATTTCTACACTTAACTATTACTACCCTGCTCTGGTAAATGCAAAACAAGAAGCCTGTAGTTGGATCATTAGGTTTAAAATGCTACATTAAAAACTCAGAAATTCAAATCTCAACTGGTTAGCTACAGGCAAGAAAGCGGGTTCAGAAAATGCTGCTCAGACGACAGAAACTATTAGTCACTATTTCTGCCGAACAGAGACCAGACACTCCAGTGGCAAGAATGATGTCAGGAGGAAGCTACGGCTGTTGATCTTACAACATTTACACTGAGTAGCAAAACTATGCTGAGGTAAGGAAAAGGAGTTAAATTTGCTAGCTCCATCATCACAAAGTAACTAAACATAGAAAGAGAAGACTGCCTCCCCGAGAAGAACAGAGGACGGAAAACTAGGAAAAGTCTGTCGTAAATTAAAGACCAGAATACCCCTAATGCTGTTATCGGGGCAAAGAGACGAGCAAGTCGAGTCTGGCCCTCGTCAGTGAAAGGGATGGCTACTGCAATGCAGGGGGAAAGGATGGGCAGGCAGAGTAGCCCTGTGAAGGTCAAAAGGAAAAAGTAAGATGCAGTGCCCACACATGTAGGATACAACTATTTTTTCTGTGTTTGTTCAATATCTTAAGTGGTTCTTACTATTATTTTCATTTCTGACATCAAAGGAAGTATTTCACCTCCACCGCTGAATGTTTGGTACTCTTATTAACAGGTCTCCAGGCAGTGAACAACTCCCATCACAGGACAATTAATTACTTCACTGCTATCTGTCTTGTAAGCAGCAGTTCAACTGATGCAAAAGCAATAGGCTACACACTGAAGACAAGAAGCAATAATACTCCATGCATAGCTTCCTTATTCTCACAGAAACCCACACCTTTGAAAACTGCCACTTCTATTACTTTCTCACAGCTCCCAGATTAGTACTGAATTGGAGACGTGAACACAAAGTTAAAAAAAATAAAAGCTGTATTTGGCCACAAGTAGATAGAATCAGACTAGAGAGATGAAGGTGGGGAGGACTATTCATTCCATAACGTTCAACCTCCTTTCCATGCCCTGGGCAAGCCAAGCATAGATCCTTTCTTATTTTTCTCAATATGAACTTGGAAAATGCCCTTTATTCCCCCTCCTCAATTATGTGCAAATTCCACCCAATGTCCTCTCCAACTCCAGGGAAGTTGGGAAATGCTACGACGTGACAGTCGTAGCTGACCATGCACCTTCATTATCAAGTATTTCACATATCTACCTAGGACAGTAAGTACCCCATGAGGCAAGAAAGTAAGATAAAACGAGAATTGTTTTAAAGGGAAATGAATCAACCGCATACTGAAATTCAAATTGTTACTTCAGTGTCTTTATTAAGCAGCCAATACAATAATCTTGCTGAGCTGTGGCTTTCCAAAAGTAATAAAAACTTACTACATACATCAAGCATCTGCAAACTAAGGTTTCTCACAAATACCTAATTGTTTCCAAATAAAATTACTTGATTTCTAGCTCACACCAAGAAAAAAAATGGATTAGCTTACTACAGGTACCTCCCTGGAACATATCAATTCATACTACTAATCATATCTACTGTAGAGCAGTTTAAAAAGAAACTTTTTAATCTTCAAAAATGTTTCACAGATATTACTTTCTGAAGGATTAAAATAAAGTTCACATCTGAAAAATGTAAGCCATGAGAAGTAGCCTGCAAGTGAAAACAGCTAAAGAGAACTTATGAAACTTAATTTACCAGAAAAAAGTACATTTTTAGCATACTAGGTGAAGACTAATGTCTGACTTTGTAACTTTCAGATACGCCCCAGTCGAAGAAAATCAGGAAGAAAAGCCTCTGCTGTTACCCAGAGTATTTTACCTACTCTTGTCAAATACAACACATAACCAGCTTACGATGCACTAACAAGTTTCAGCTGAGAAGTAGTAACAGGGTGGGCTCTGTCACTCACTCCAAACGCAAGGTAAAATAAAGTTTAATTCTTTAATTGATTTACTCAATTCATTTTATCTATCAACTGCCCAGGCTAATAGCTCAACTTCCATGGCTCAGCTGACAGGTAGCAGGTTATTAAATCACAGTGATTCAGCTGGACACCCTCTAGTCTCTTTTCCCTCCGTCATGTCTCCTCAGGCACTCCGGCTGTCTCTTGTGCTTAATAACGCTTTATGGTCAATTGATTGACCTGATTACCAAGGAGAAAAGAATCAGTATGTGCAAGTCCTTCACAGAGCACTTCTGGATCGGACGCAGAACAGCAAACCACGAGAGTGTGCAGAAAAACCGCTGCCATTACCACCCTTGGTTTTAAAGGAGAAAGAACACCCTCAAATATCTAGAATTGTAAGTTCCCAGTGTCCCTGTAAACTCAGTGGGGGGGAAATAAATGCTTGTCTTCAATTTCTCACCATCCTGAAATTTTCAGAAGGAGCACTTTTGCCTTAAGAAATACTCGTGTTCTTACATTCCTCCACCACAGTTGGTAACATTCAACCCAAATCCTCAGCTGCATGCAGCAGACCCAGGAACACTGCTTTGCTCCACCATAACAAGGCAAAACACAGTTCAAAGACAAATCCTTGTCACTCCGGGGCCGGAAAACCAGCAAACATTCCTCCACAGCTTCCTTCTACTGCCAGGGCACACTAAAAGGATACCGGTTCAGCGTCTACAGCCTCTCAATGGGTAGATTCCTGCAAACGCAGTTTAACGTAGTGAAATAACGTAAGGGGAGGAAAGAGCAAGAAATCGATGTGACATGGTAATTAGAAATCACAGTAAGCTCAGTATCAAGAAAATCTGGTAATCCTGATGAGTAATGACATCTTTTACCCACAAGATTGAGACAGAAGTGGCTTAGCTGTAAGGGATACTTCATTTCTGACTTAGTGTTGTAAGCACAAGACTTCTCCAGAAAAGGATGAAGGCAAGTTTACGTGCAATTCCATGTGCTGTAAGACAAAGATTTATCCTTCTCCTACAACAAGAAGTCGTACACAAGTCTCATACGAAATACTTTCTTGATAACAAAGCTGCAGAGCTTTTTACGAGCTAATCCTTTCAGAGCTTAAAGAAGAAAATATAAGCAATAAAATATTTTTTCCACATCTAAATGTAGCTATTGAGAGTTCCCAGAACATTTGGCTGCTTTGTAATCACGTCCTTAACATAACTGCGTGCATCAAGTGATGCTATGAATAAATATTCAAGCATTTTAATTGCAGTATGTCATTAGGCTGAGCAAATGACTACTCAGTCGACTAACAATTCAGTAGATTTATTTTATACTTTGGAGCACACCTGACAAGAATGGCAGCCTCGTATCCTGCACAACTGCCTAGCAATTAATATGGACTACTTTATTTTGCATACTGCATTTTAAAACTTAAAAAGCGTTCTGAAATTTTAGACCATCTCTTCTTCGTTATAGCTAATAGTTTCACAACTGTGTGTGCCGTAAGACTCGGCATAAATTTTATTGGCAACCTAACAACTTAAGTTCTAATGAATACCTGGGGCTACTATTTCAAAAGGTACCGAGTTCTAACTTCGTATTTTGCCACTGAATCAGAGATTGATCTACCATATTAATCCCATAAATAAAAACCATTAAAAGACTGACGCTTTATGGCAAGGTCAGGGAAACTCTAAGTGTTCTAATCACAATTATTAAAAACCTCAAACCCATAAAGCAGCTAGATAAATCACCTGAAAGTTATATGTAAATGTATAATGGATTTGGAGATTCACTTTGCCATTTAGAGGTGAGTCTAGAAACAATGTTCACAACTTTCTCTAGAAATATGAGAAGTTAACAGCTTTTACTCCAGAACTTCCCACCCCTTAGTTTATTCTGATCACTTGCATCCATGAGACAAGACTTCAAGAAAACCTGTTCCAAGAAGTTGCAGGTTGGCAACACACAGAACTGGAGAGCACCACCTTTTCTCAATCGCTTGGAAACCTTCAGTAACAAATAAAGGGCATTATTAATGGGCAGCCTCCTGTGCTTCCCAAAAAGCCACCCCACTTTCTAAAAGGAGGAATGTGATTATTAAGTATTCAACAGTGACTGTAACTCACAACAGCCAGGTCTGTATGCTTTAAACATTCCTCCTCACACCCAAGCATTTTGACTGGCAAGTTAGAGCCCTGCTCTCCTGTCACTCACACGTGGCTCATCGAAGCACGTTTCAACTACAGTAGCTATGTAGAGTTGTTGAACTCACTTGTCTCTCCTTTACAGATGGGATTCTTTGACAGCTGGCCTGCAGAAATCCCAGAAGTGATGCCAGAGCATAAATATTACTTAGAATGCCTTGACCACGTTAAAAAAAAAAAAAAAGGGATCAAGATGTGCTAATGTTAGTTTTTTCTGCTTAACAAGAAGGTTAGAGGCATCTGCCTCTGCGAATGGGTTGCCTCCAGTGAAAAAAAAAAAATAGAGAACAAATAATGGACTAAGTAAATCAGCATCCAGTTACCATTTTACATTTATTGGGTGCGTACT